ACACATACATCTATAACCATCTGATCTATCTCACATATATCGATAAGTTGTACTGAGTTGTGACGAGCAACTTCCCTAAGAACTCCACCATCACCACCACCCACAACCAAGACCTGTATGGATTATATTACACAAGGGCATAAAAGTCAAATTGTTGTAAATAAAGAGTGTGAATTATTTATTAGTTTGAAGAAAAATTACATTTTTGGGTGATTTGATGGAACAAAGGGGAAGATGTGTTATCATTTCCTGATAGGCAAACTCGTCTCTTTCGGTTAATTGAAGGATGCCATCAAGAACAAGCACTTTTCCATATGTTGAAGACTGAAAATTAATTAAAAAAATAATTTCAGTATATGTGTTTATGATTTATAAAAATGAAAAATTAATTATATATAACGTTATACCTCAAAAACTAAGACGTCTTGGTATTTTGATTTTTCTTTGAATAGAATCTCTTTTACTTCTAATGAATGTGCTTCTCCTAAAATTGGAAAGTTTATTAAATGTAGGAAATTATACTTCGTGTTTCTTTTATGGAAAAAATAAGGAAAACATGGAATTAGAATTTATAAAATACCTGGCCACAAGGGGCTGTTGAAGTAGATTGTTTTGCCATCTTTATCTGGAATTAGTAACATAGTCATGGTCAAAATATGTCAACAATCAAAAGGCTAAATTAAACCACTTGTTGAGAAAGGTAATAGTATTACACTATTACATGATCATTATGATAATTGACAAAAATGAATATATTAATATAAATATGAATGGAAAGAAATGAAGAAGTTAATCACCAGATGAAGTTTGATTCCCGGAGAACCATCCGGAATCAACCGTTGGATGACATCTGGCTTCAACATCGGCATAGGTGGAAAAAGCTCGGGCTTTTAAGCAACAAGGAGGAATTGTAGTCACGCCTGTGTTGTTATTCTCATTCGGAGTCATGATTTTCCTGTTTGGAATACAACTATAATAAAAAAATAAAAAATAAAAAAAACTTTTGGTTACTTTTGGAATGAAAGAACAATCAAAATATAGTAAAATAAACTTATAATTATAATAATGATTAATGAAGATATATAAAAAAACTCTTCCATTATAGAATGAAAAGGACTATCAAAATATAATAACATAAAAGGGTTATAAATCATGGCCAAAAAAAAGGCAACAACCAACATGATCTTCACACCACGTACTTCATTCTGCCATTATTAAGCTATGTGTCCAAATTTTAGAATCCAAAACTTAACTTCTATAATTATATTCCCTCATTTCCACAAAACTCTTCGGATGTTTACAAAAGGTAGGGATGCAAGTGATAGTAATTGATATACTTGATTAAATTTACAAGATCGAGTATTAACGCAATAAGATCAACCACATGTAATTAATAGTCTGATTAATCCAAAATAAAATACAATAAAAAAAAAAATTTGAGCAGGAATCACAAATACAGCTATTGATTAAAAAAGTCGGCGGGAAAACCAGTAATATTTGGAAATTTACTGAAATTCCAACTACCACGATAAGAACAAGAAATATCTCATCAATTGATACGTAAACATAAACATAACTACATAAGCATATGCATTCGATCATAATAACTAATTAATAGTCGAAAACGCATAGAAATCAATCAATTCAACAGAAAACTACGATGAATCATCATCATGATTTATTGATTCATGGAAAATACAACGTAAGTTAGGAGTTAATTAAGTTATCATCAAGTACATACAAATTTAGACCTGCTTTGAAGGCGAGAAAGAGAATCAATTAATCGAAGTCGCGTCTGTCTTTCTGCTAGCTGAATTTGGATTTAACTTTTTTTCTTGTTTTGAAGAGTCGACGGATGGAAATGGCGTAACGGTAGCATACGTATATATATTATGTTGTTCATATGAACAGTTAGTGAATGTTGTGAAATGACGGATGTGTCCTTGGAGGAAAAATGTGAAAGGCTTAATAAGGGTCTAGCACGTTTCACGTGGGCACCAATCCCTCCCTTTTTAATGTTTTATTTATTTTATTTTTAAGTTCCATCCTACTGTCCCCAATGAAAAAATTGACTTGATGTATAAGTACAACAACATGAAAAAAATAATAATAAATAAATGTACATGATACGTTTTAAGTTTCTATTTTTTTTTTGTTTGATTGAAAGGACATGCTATTTATCAATTTTATCCGGTCTTATTATCTAAAAACATTCACTAGTTTATTTGTAATAGCATGTGTTGTTAAATTCTTAAATTAGATTATTTATACTAGATTATTAAATTGTTTGCATTTGTTTATTAGACTAAGAGTTAATTATACATCTGGTCTTTGAGTTTGTTTTCTTTTTGTTGGGATATTGTTAAATTAATCGTTATGAACAAAAACGTGACCTTTAATCAAAATAATTAATTTTATGGATTTTTATAAAATAACTATTTTCTTTGTAACAACGAATATTCAAGAGTTGGCATTTCTATATATTTTTTGTTAGCAGCTAAATATTGTAAATGCAATTTTATACTCAAGGGTCTTTAAATGTTTAAACCAACACTATAATAAAATGAGAGTCATCCCGACATAACAACTTTTTGTTATGACAAAAATTCATGTTTTACATTACTATACAACCCTTTAAAGCATAAATTGTTAAAAATGACAATTAATATATATATATATATATATATATATATATATATATATATATATGGGGATAGGGAATATACATTACAGCCCCACCTAAGCTTAGGTACTAAACCTTTAAAATATGTCGTTTTAACATGCTAAATATACCCGGTTTGGTTTCACTTGGTAAATATATCATCATCCATAACATTTCTTTCTTTCATTATCGTTTTACCATCGCTGTTTTCTTTCCTCAATTATCGTTTATTACTTCACCCAAGTGAACATTACTAAACCCTAAACCCTAAATTTAAACCCTAAACCCTAAACCCTAAACCTAAACCCTAAACCCTAAATCTAAACCCTAAACCCTAAACTCTAAACCCTAAACCCTAAACAGGAAGTAGAGCAATAGTCATAGATTCTGAGTCTATAATATCTTTAATTATGTATAACCTTGGCGT